TGGGTTTATTTTAATTAATAAGCAGTGGATGTATAACAATAGAAAATATAAATAACTATAGAGTTAAAATTATACTCTATACAAAATCAGGTTATAACACAAAAAAATGAATGTGACTGTTGACTAGTGTGATTTCTAAAGATTTCTAAATTGCATAATAAAAATGTATTATTGATAATAAACATTGTTAAATTGTTGGTGGGGATAACGAAACCTTCTTCAACTTTGAACTCGTTTTATTTTCAACCTGTGTGCTGTATAGCGATATTAGAATCTACATTCAATAGACAAACTAATATTAATGTAGTAATAATACATTTTTGTTTAATACTTCAGATTTTAATATAATTATTATAATAATTCTACACTTTTACCTAATGCTTATACAACACTATTTTACTGATATTTTATTGTACATTTCAGGATATTATGTTCATAGTAGCAATGCCGCATAGAGCTAATTTAGTTGCAGTAATAAATCCTGATAAAGGCATGTTGTTTGATTTACGTACTAAAAAATATTTAAAATCTGTTCCAAAATGGGGAGGGTTTTGTACAAAAGATGGAAAATATGGATTGTATGCACCTACCAGAGGTGGTTTAGAGCTAATAGAGCTTAAAAAAGGTAGTTCTGTAAAGACTTTTATACCCAAGGTTGCTGAAGGAGTATTTACTGTAATTTGTATGTTTAATAAGACTGATGAATATGTATTATATTATCATAGTGGAAGAAAAACATTAAGAGTTTTTCGGTAAAAATAGATTACTTTGTATTTTTGTCAATTTATACAAGAAAAATTATTTTTATAGACTTACTGATGCAAAGATGTTAGCTAATTATCGTGTGCCAGCAGAACTAAGTGCTATTGAAACAACTGAAGATGGACGAGCAGTTGTTATAGCCACGGTAGATGGATGTCTATCAGTTTTAGCTTTAGCAGATCCAATCAAAGATTCATTCCTCTCAACATTACCTTCCAGAGATGAAACAGTATGTGTTAAGATATTTTTTTAACTACAGATATATATTAACAAGGTTATATTTTAGTGGAAGAAGAAAATGGATAAACAACGGACAGCAAAATTATTTAAAGCTGCTGCAGCTATCACTAAATTTTGTGTATCTGTGAGCGAGCCAAATTCAAAAGAAGAAATTGGGAATAGTATAAGTAGTTCACAACAATTGCAATTATCAAAAATATTACTAAAAGGATAAATAATTTTATTTTTTCGCTTGATTGAATTACATATATATATGTTTTATTTATTTTATTCCAATTATATAAATAAATTTAAATATAATTAAATGTCTTTGTAGTACTTAGAACAAATGTTTTCTTTTTAAGATAATTTATATTCATTATTATTCAATATAAAAATGTTTAAGTAATAATATAGAAACTAATTTAAAAAATAAAAACCAAATTCTGAAAATAATTTATTTTTATCTCAACAGTATATAAAATTCTTCATCTATTTATAAAAATAACAACTAAATTTTATAAGCTCATAACATAATAAATATTTTTAACCAATAAAAAATATTAATCTAAACAGATCCATTTATCAAAATAAAATCTCATTAGGAATCAACTCCAGTATCCAAATTTAGAGTTTGTTTCATTAATTCATAAGTAGAAAATGAAACAGCCACCATAGGTACAGCTCTAATGAAATTTATGCTCATTCCTCTGTATAATCCATTTGTAATACCATTAGTACGATAAACAGTCACTAAGGTTTTGATCATACCATGTCTGAAATAATAAATAAATAAAATCACTTGATTTAATGGATATAAATATATATATGGTTATTACAATACCTCCTAAATAAATTTATTTCATAGCATAACAGAAATAATTGTAATCAATTTCAGAATAAATATACACATTAAATCAATTGCATTAAAATGTCTTATTTAATATAACTATATACACACCCATATTTGGAATTGGTTTGATCCATACTAGCTAATTGCATTCTTCTCCTAGTGACATCTAATGGATATGAAACACATTGGGCAAGTGCACCAGACATTCCACCACAAAGCAATTTTGCTGGTACAGTAAGTATAGCACCACCTATATAAGATACACCTCAATAGTTTATAAAGTTCTAAATATTTTTTAAGACTCACCAGAATCTTTATCAGACTGTTTACTAAGCATTGGTAAAGTTCTCAAGCAAAATTTTTTAATAAATTCAAAACAGAAGAATGTCAATCCTGCATATGGGACCATACCACATAATGTAGGAACAAAACCTCGATATAGAGCTTTTACTCCTCCTTCCTATTAAAACTGTTATCGTCAATATACATTTACAACTTTAAATAGCATGCATTTTTCAAAGTACATTTTGGATAATACATTTAGCTGTATGTATGATTCCATTGTAAACATGTTCACCAGTTACTTGAAATGCTAATCGTGCTCTAATTGTATCTAGAGGATATGTGATAGTAACTGCTGTGACACCTGCTGATGAACCAGCTATAAACTTTCCAACATGAGAACTATTACCTAAAATGGATCCCAATAGCTTGAAATAAAAATACAATTTGAAAATAAAAAATATTATAATCAAACTAAATATAAAATATAAATTAATTAAACAGGAATAATACTGTTTTATAGAATTCAAATGAAGTGAATTGAATAGCTGCATATGGGAACACTCTCACCATTTGGGCACCGTTACCTTTATACAATGCTATAAAACTCTCATGTTTAACAATTTCAGCAAGGCCATTAAATACACCTAAAATAAAACAGGCGAATCAATTAAAAATCATAAATGTTCAATAAAAATTTAATAAAAACCATGTAGTCAAAGTTTAATTTAAATTTAATTTATTTTATTTATGCAATTCCAAAAATGAACATAAATTATTGTAATTATTTACAATAATATTAAGCTGAGCAAAAATGTAAAATAAAACTTACAAAATGTATTCTGTTGTATTATATTAAATTATTATGTACAAAAAATGATTACCGAAATTAGTGTAATGCTTATTGTGAGCTTGTAATAATATTTTTATTCGATCCAAAGGAGCAACAGTAGTTTTTGAGCACATACCAGCAACACCTGTTAGAGAACCGATGACAATAGTTAATTTGTTACAACTACATAATGCAAACAAAATATCTTTTTCAATATCATGTTTGCAGCAAGAGGAGCATTTGAGTGGATGCCTTACCTCCGGCGAACAAGGACTTCATCACATAGGTGAAATCTTTTTTCTGCGCTTCTAACACAATCATTTCTTTATTTTCGGATGCTAAAGCCATGACTACACGACAGACTGCTGGGTATATTCGAAAAATCACCGATAGAACAACAACAACCGCGATACGCGCCACTTAAAGAACCATCACGTACTGTCAGTTATTGAGAACCATGTTGTAGTATGTACACATACGCAAACATCACACTGGGTTACGGTATTGGAATTCCAACGGTAGGTATACCGGTGTGGCGAACCTTGAGAAATGACTTTCACAAGGCGGCGAGACGACAGTTCAGTCGAGGAGGATACACCGTTTAAAATGTCTATGTAAATACGCGCGCAATTATATAAGATTATTATTATTATTATTATTAAAGCTTCCGTGGGAAGGGGAAAATACAACGATGTACGTTCGACGTCCGCCTATCGCTGAACGAAATCGGTTGTTAGTATTTATTGCGCGACACAATTGATGTAGTCCGTACGGTGACGGGCACTGTTCCTGGTGTATGAAATCAGTGACGTGTGGTATAGTGACCACGGACCGAATCCGTGTAACGGAACTAAAACCGAAAACGGCGGCAACTGGTTGGATGAAAGTTTCACTGTAATGTTCTGTGCATTAACACGACTTTTAAATAGGTGCTTTTTCGCCAACGTTTTTCACCGTGTATCTCATTAAAAGTCACATTTGTATAAGTAGTACACTATATCAATTAGATATTCACAAAATATTTAAATACAAAATACATTCACCACCAAGTGAACGGATGGATGATCAATTGTTATCAGATTTTATGTTATCATTACCGTTGATAATAGCATAGAATGTTCTATGATAATAGGTAAATGTTATTATACCTTCCGGATATTTTTTTAATATTAATTCTGTGACTATTATTTTATTATATAACTAAATAGATAATATGTTTATGTTTGATTTTTAAAGGTTTTTCTTATGCAATATATTCGATTATTTATATAGTAAATGGTTTAATATTCAACTTGCTTACTTAATAACTTCCAAATTGCAATTTATATTTTACATACCTAATATAATTGTTATATTCTGTTGTATATACCTTATTTATTAAAATAATTTATTTATATTATGACCATTAATTGGTTATTTAATTACATTTTTTTCTTATATCCATTATTTTTTTATTCATCATTTTCTTAATTACATAAACCTAACCGTTGTAAATCATATTCTGACATAACATTTGTGCTGCTATCAATTACTGGTATTTAAAAACACTAACGACTAATTTATAATTCAATTTTGGGTGTAACAACCGAAGTACAGAATGTAATCTATTTTATTTTAATATTAACTTTAATCATCATCATTGTATGCTATACTTTATTACAAAATAATTTTTAATTTTGTAATTGGTTTAATTGATTTATTATATAATATACATGATACATATGGGTATTACCCATGGACTCATAGACAATATTAACTAAGTTAATAGGTCTATAGTATTACCCATATCAATTTCAACATTTTGTGTAGGTAATAAGTAAATAATATTAGTCCTATTAGGTATCAACGGGGGCAGTTTGTCCTATCGGAAAATCGATGAACTGGTTCTTGTAAGGGCCACTTTACTTAATAAATAATTAAAACATTATTTTGTAAAATAAGCATAAAATATTAAAAATCAAATTTGCACCTATGTATTATTTTGGTAAAAAAGACAAATCTAAGGTCTAATGTATTTTTAAAATATTACACCTTAAGATAAATATGTACATTTTACAAACATAGATAAAGGAAATTTTCAAGACTTCTAAAATAAAAGATAAACTTAATTATTATTTTAAATAATTTAAAATAAGTAATTAAGATCTATTGTTAGTTCTAAAAAATATAATTATAAAAGCTTAGAAATATAACTGCACTGCTCAGTGGAGGATTAACCTTCTCAGCACCCTGAAGCACGCTCAGTGTTTACTGCTCCCCTTTTTCTTAATACTATCTACAGATCGTAATTTGAATGGGCTAACATCAAAGAGCGATGGGTCATCAGGTATAGCCGGAAGTGAGAAATGGTTCAAAGGTATAAATAATGATTAATTTACACTTTAATTCAAATATCGTATAAATATAATTTTATAAGTTGCAATCTATAAATTACATGTGTCCAGCATGTGATGTTCACAGCAAAATAAATTGTAAAATAATATGATGGGTACTTATGTGCATAGGCGCAATTTGGAAGGGGGGCTTGGGTGTGCTTAGCACCACCATTTTTGAAATTATCACCCCAAAATGTGTTCATGTTAATTTACATTTAAATACTTATTACTCATTATGTATAGAAAAACAGAGTTTTTATTGTATAAATATATAAATTTATTATTTAAATAATGATGGTGGAAGTTCGTCCTTCCTCTTTTTGGTCCTCAAACTGGATAATAATGATAGGTAAGGTTACCAGACTTTGAAATCCTTAAACTTAAACCATCATATTGAATGACTCTGAGTAAAGGTTCAATATTAAAATTAACCATTTATGAGTATATTTTACCATTTTTAGTCTAATTATTGGTAGGTTCTTTTTCGGTACAATTAAAAATTTAATAAGTATGCTGCGATCAATAGTTGGACATTTTCATAGGAGCGCGGTTTCGCAGTCAAATTTAGAAAATGAACAAGTGAAATATCAATTATCTAAAAACAAGCTGGTTCAAGATTGTATCACTAGATGGAACTCAACCCTAGAAATTATGTCTAGTGTGTTAAAAAATTTAAATCCAATAAATAATGTATTGATTTTGAATCCTAAGACATATAGTTGGCGTATAACTTCAAATGAAGCTAAAAAAATGGTAGATTTAATTAATGTTATAGAGCAGCGGTTCTTAAACTTTTTTTTTCGCGTACCACATGTGTATATTATCAGTCACGTATCATTAATTATTAAAAATAGAATCATACAAACTTCACATAGTTAAATATATTTATTTTAAATAAAAAGGCAGTAAAATACTAAAATAAAATTATTATTTATATATTACTACAAGTTTATTAGTGTTTTAAATTAATATATGAGTTAAATATTGAATTTTTAATATCCGTTTTACCACCATGCGGCCTTTCGCGTACCACCTTGTAGTCTTTTGCGTACCATTAGTGGTACGCGTACCACAGTTTGAGAACCACTGTTATAGAGCATTTTAAATCAGCTACCGAAATTCTTGGAGGAGAGAAATATGTAACATCATTAATAATAGTACGTGTATTCAAAAATCTATTAACTTCACTAAAAATTGAAGATAACGATAGTCGACTAATGAAAAATTTAAAAACAACAATTTATGACGATTTAAAAAAAAGAATAGATCAAATGGGAAGTACAGTATTTAAAGCAGCAGCATTAAATTCAAGATATCGGGCATTGAAATTTTTGACTGCAAAAGAAAAAGATAATGCATGGAAAGAATAGGAGCAGAAAAAAGGAAGTCAAGCATGTATGAACAATACAAATCAAGAAACAACAACACTGGACACTAAGAATGAACCTCCAACAAAAAAAAAATGAAATCATTATTAGATGATAGTGATGATACTCAGTGCCGTAGCCAGAAAATTGTTTTGGGGGGGGGCACTTAATTTTTTTCTCACTTTTTGCAATGCTAGAATACCTAATCATCACCTATTACTTTATGGCCCCTTTGCTTATAAAGTGTTAACTACAGACCTATTATTTTTATGACTACCATTATATGCTAACAACTATGGTACCCATATATTTAACACATTATTATATTATTATTATATTATTTGTTATTAACAAAGTATTATTATTTCTTTAATAATATTTTTAAAAATTAAAAAATAACAAAGTATTAAAATATTATGTTAAAACATATATTGATAGAATAATGTATTAATTAATATAGCTATATTAATATAATTTTATCAATATTATCAATATGTGTTGTAAATGTTGTAATCACATTTCATTTTTCATTCAAATATTTTTACTATTTACTAACAAGAATACAAGATCATAACTTATAACTTTTATTAAACATATAATAGAAAACAAGTTATAGCTGACCTAATACAAATTACAAATAGGATAGTTAAGACTAAAGGATATTATGATGGAGCAGTTAAACAAATTTAAATGATTATAATCTTAACAAAATATTTCTTTATTTTATAATATTGTTTAACAAATGGGTTAAAAAAATGTAAATATTATTAAAAATAACAAATTATTCTTTAATATATTATAATAAAGTAGTAACAGTAACAAATTAATAATAATAAAAAAAAAAATTTCTCAGATTAAAAATTATTTACAAACATTATTTTTTTAAAATTATATTAAAGACTTACTTATAATTTAAAGTTTATACGTCTTTCTTTTCTGTTGGCAAAAACATCAATTAATGACTCTATGTCTATATCTATATTCCTATGTACATTTAGCAGTGCTAGACCATTAAGTCTATTTTCACTAGTTGAATTTCTTAAATAGGTTTTTATAAGCTTAAGAGTTGAAAAACTTCTTTCAACTGAAGCTGTTGTAACTGGCAGGATTGAAAAAATTTTCAATATTGTATATATATTAGGAAAAATATCTGCTGGACAATTCAATAATGTATCAAGAGAGTTGGTTGGAATTACTGTTTCTGTTTTCCACTTCATTTGCCATAATTCAAACTCTCCTTTTAAGGTCGAACTATAGGAATCTATTTGTAAGTCATCTTTATAAAATTCTAAAGCCATTTGTAGATCATCAAATGTGTTTTTTTTTATTTTAGACGGTAACAAACAAGAAAGTGAAGATATTAAACTTGAATTTGAATTAAATCTTTCATTAAAAGATGAGAGCAAATCATCTAAATATGGATAGAAAATTGATACCCTATAGTATGTGCAACAATCGCCATCATTTACAATATAGTTGGCCCGGTGTTTTTGAGTTCCTACTGTCCGTGAGATGATTGGAGACACGTCAACCTTTTCAGCCATTTCGATAGCACTATCAAAGATTTTTTGAAACTCCACTTCATTTCTTATATGTTGTAATTTTGTAGTTGTTATTTCTATTGAATTTTTAGCGGTTATAATATCTATATTTTCTGTCTGCAAATATTTAGAAATTGTGTATGTTATACCAAGTACTCTCTCCATTATAGAACATGTAATCAAAAATTGGAAATTGCATAATGATTTGTGTAATAAAATTGCACTTTTGTCATTTTCTGAAGTCATGAGATCCTCCAGTGCTAAAACAATTTCTAAAAAACCATCGACAAATATTGAAAGAGCTTCATGTCTTTCAACCCATCTGGTTTCACAATATTTTTTTAATCCAGAAAATGGTTTGCTTTCTAATTTTGTTTTTAATATATATGATCTTTTGGCTGACATTCGAAAAAAAGAACTTACCTCTTGAATTATATTTAATGTGTTTCTGATTTGTTTAACTTTAGAAGCATCATTTAGGCATAAATTTAAGCAATGAGAGAAACGGTGTGTGTATAGAGCTTTAGGATATTCTTTTAATATAAGTGCTTGAACTCCTCTAAATAATCCTCCCATATTTGCTGCTCCATCGTATCCTTGGCCTCTCATATGCTGTAAATTTAATCCTAAAGCACTCAATGTACTTATGATTGTCTTTGCTAGCTCTAATCCTGTAGTACTATGTACTGGTACAAATTGTAAAAAATCTTCTCTTATTTTATTTACATCAGCATCAAAATACCTTATACAAAGAGAAAACTGTTTTTGAGAATTAATGTGATAACACCGAGAACAATCACCGGTAATTTATTATCTATGATAATTAAATATAATCATAGAACAATAATTAACCGCAAATAATATACCATGTCCCCATTAACTATATATCACTTGGCACTTGAGCACAAAACAATAAAACATTATAATATAATAATATGATACTATCAAACCATAACCGTGTTCACAACAAAAATGGAACGCACTTGTATTTCTTAGCTGAAGTCTGTGCTTATCTTTACTATTTTACAAATTTTATGAATATAATTACACAAATTATAAAATTAATAACTTATTATTATTCGTTATCATAGATTAATCTTGAATTATATAAATTAAAAAATTTCTGTGCGATGTACTATGGGTCTTTGACCAACCAAAAAAAAAAAAGGGTTTCGGGGGGGGGGGGGCACGTGCCCCCAGTGCCCCCCCCTGGCTACGGCACTGATGATACTACATTATCGGTTATGGGAGCAGACACTCGAGTAACGTATGTTAAAAATAACGCACGTTAATACGGACGTCGAAAATATCAACGCCAAAATTAAATTTGTATTGTTTTTAAATGTGAACGTCTGCTGCGTGGTTACACGGGTGCACTTTCGTACGCAGTACGCACGTTATCCAGACGTATAGTATATAGTATAAATACGTCTTTACAACTTTACAACCAAGTAGATACTATATACAAAAAATAATAACAAATTTTTAACGGACGTCATATCGACGCTCGTATGCCCGCTCTAGTGTGCGCGTTAAATAATACGTCCGTCGCAACGCGCGTACTTAGTGCGTCCGTGTGGCCCCAGCCTTACGGACGTTCATGCAACCCAGATATCGGTAATCGTTCACAGAACATTACAAATAACAGCTGATCGAAATGAGTTTATTTTATCTAAAGAGTAATCAATGATTTTTACCTAATTGTGAATCAGTCTAATCAGGTATCACCATATTTTTCCGTACCCATAGGTATTTTGTAATGGAGACAAGGGGATTACACGCATGTAGGTATGCGTTATGTGACAAGTGACAGTGATGGTTAGGACTAGGATTTCTATGCATTTGCATGTTTTTTCCTCAAGTCCAAATTGATTGGTTTTTAGTATGTTCACGATTTGGCTTATTGTCCATTAAATAAAACCATTTTTATTTTGCATATTTTGAACATAATGCATATAATTGCATATTTATATATTTTTGAGAATCTAATTTTTAAACTTAAAATGTCAAGTTTATTTAATTATTTTTAAGTTATTGTTAATTTTAAATGGTATTTATCTAACGAACATCTATTTTTATAGTTGTCGTAATTATATTACGTATATAATCTTATCTTGGTCGGACGACCGATATAATTATTCACATATTATTTTAAGACATACTTATTAGAGGTCTGCACGGGCCAAAAATGTTAGGGCCGGTCCGGTACGGACTTTCTGCTAACGTATAAGTCATGTGTTTTACAGTCGTGCGTATCGTGTCACGTTTTCGAATTACATTATTTAAGTTCTTACGCGCCAAACTGACGAGAGTGCATATGGGTTTTTTCAATCGGTATGTATGTACTTAAACAATGTAAATTAAAAAACGCCACGTATGAACGCTCGGTTTTGAAACGGGCCTAAAGCTGTAAAGATATATTTCAAAGCTCGGTTCGGCCTAAAGAATGTTTCATCAGTAAAATTGAATTTTTGTACAAGTTTTTACATTAAGAAAAAACTCGGCCCGGACCGTAATAGATTTAAAAATTTAAAAGCCCGACCCGAAGTCCTTGTTTCATTTAAATAAAGCCCGGCTCGGCCTGGATTTAAATGTTAAGGACCAACCATGATGGTAAATTAATTAAATTAATTAATTTATTGGTAATTTAAGTACTAGATACCTAACCTAACCTGCATGGGCCACATGCAGGTATCTAATACTTCAACTGTGAGACAGTACAGAAGTATTTAATTTCATTAATACGACTTATGAACTATATTAGTATAAAATAATATTTAATGTAATAATAACAAGTTATGATAAATAATAATTCTAGAAATAATAAAATTTGGTTTTGCATATTATGATAAATAAAATGCATATTATACAATTTTTTATTGCATATAAATCCTAACCGTAGTAATGGTCCAATTACTTATAATATGATATTACGACAATAAATGATTGTAGCGAGTTGGTCAGTGGCGTAAATAGGTCATTGGAGGCCCGTGTGCAAAGATTAATATGGGCCCTCCAAAAACGTAAATAAGCAGTAATACAATATGATTTATCATTATTAATGTTTAGGTTATATTTATTGTTTACATATTACTTACTTGTAAGCAAACTAGCAACATTTAATTATAAACTTATCGTCGGATCCCAAACGGCTCCCGTCCAAAAAGGTCTAACGAACAAGTAAATTCCTGAACGGCTCCGGTTTTGTACACCACAAATTCCTTCCCACTTTATACAGACTTAAGGTACGATTTGGCTAGAGCGACCGCGACCGCGACCGTGTTTCATTGCGTCAATGTTATTATATGTACCTTAATTGTGCTTAACAATATTTTTGTTTATACATTTTTTACATTTTTTAAATATTTTTTTAACGTTAAAAATTTAAAATTTAATATTATACTATACGCTTTTTTTAAATAATTTTAATAATTTACATAGTGTACACAAAGACATTTTTAACCACACCTCTTTTGAGACAGTCCTAAGTCTGTATAAAGTGGGAAGGAATTTGTGCTGTACAAAACCGGAGCCGTTTAGGAATTTATCTGTTCGTTAGACCTTTTTGGACGGGAGTTGTTTGGGAATTGACCTTTTTGTAAAACGGGAGCTGAATGGGCTACGATCAAACTTATTGCATCTTGTACTTTGTACATTTTTTTTATGTAGGTATATTTAAACATTATAAAAGTATGATACGTTTATAGAATAATATTTAATTAAACAAAAAAAAATATTACTCATGTTGTAATGATCACCACAAAAGAAATTCATTCCATATTTATAACGCTAGAAACACTTATTTAATTATTGAATAGTATGTAATATACAAATTTTTATTAATGCATAATAATATATAACATAATGTTGTTTCATTTGTATAATTCTTCAAAAACTTATTATGAAGTATAAAAGATGCAACATTAATCAAATAAAATCGTTGGAACTATTTGAGAAAATTTTTCCTTCTTGACTTTAAATTTGCAATGGCGTTTATTATTTTGTCAATTTCAAGTTCTGAGGTTTTTTCTCTTTCAATATTTGTAAGTCTGTCTTGTGAAATTGAGTTTCTAAGATAATTTTTTATGAGCTTAAGCTTAGAAAAAGAACGTTCGGCAGAAGCGACTGTAACTGGAATAGTCAGAAAAATTAAACACAGCGTAAAAACGTCATGAAAAGATGATGCCAAGTCATATTCGATTAAATAAACTGTTAGATCTTTAATATTATGTAACACAGATGTTGATTTATTAACACAAAAAAAATTTCTTAAACACAAAAGTTGATTTGTAGTACCTATCTGAACTTAACACATTTTTATATTTTTGTGTAAATCGTAGGACACTTAAATTATAATTTGTTCCTCTATTGTAGTAAGATTTATTGGTTTTAAAAATAAAATTCATAATTTATTGTTTTAAGACCTTTAAAACTTTCTTTAAGCTGAAACAATGTCGTGTCCACTGTAGGATAAAATACTTAAACTTTAAAATTCTCCTCAGTCCTTCGGTCACAATCAACTTCATCGTGATACCCAACAGCAAATCTATCACGTTTACAATTGAGGTTTAAAGGTATTTTCCATGAAACACAAATAATTTTGGCGTCTTCTACTATATTATTATAATTAGCTCGTAAATTAGTTAAATGGCACTATCAAGTTGAACAACAGCAAATTCTATGTTGAAATTTATTAACTAGTGAGTTTTAGATACTACATTTAATGATCGTAATATTCGTTCATAAAAACTTAAAATTAATACAAACTCAGCTGATTCGAGTTTTTTTTCAAGGAACCACTTACATTTTTTTCATCAGATTTATGAGACGTAAGTAGAATATGAGTAAGTGCTTTGATTATGTCAAAATACCGTTCCTTTTATGCGAATACAGAGTCGTAACGGGCTGCCCATCGTGTTGGGCATACTGTCTTTAAGGATTTCTTTTGAATTATAATTTATTAATTACCTCTTTCGTATAGATTCTTCTGGTGCTTTAATACAATGACAATTTTGTAAATGTCTTATTAAAGAACCTGTCGTGCCGCCTACACATGAATATTCATTATTATTTTCACTGTCACATAAATCACAAAAGGTGTGATCACCTTCACGTTTGGCATAATCCCATACCCAACTTTTTCTTTTCACCATTTTGCGAGAAAACTTAAATTTTTTAATGAATAGGATCACTTAATGATTGCACGCAAACTAAAAGCGTCGTACACTAAAGTGTTTAATATCATATTATCATCAAGATATCGATATTGTCACTACCTATCCAACTACCAGAAAAGACACACGCAACGGGCACTACGAGTTCAGTAAGTTCAATAAATATAAATAAGCGCGAAGTTAATCAGTAAAATTATAAATACATTTTCAAATAAAATACAACTAAATAAACAGTACCTAAAATTGGTATTTGTAATGCAATATATGACCACCATGTAGGCATTATTAACAAAGTTAACAAAATCTTTTTGTTCTATAAATGACTATTTTCTTTTACAATCAAGTTTTCGATAAATGCCTGTTCACGTGAATATACTAATTCACGTTTTCTCGTGAATATGATTCCGATACGTGTTCACGTGATTAAGCTTTGGTTAATTCTCGTGTATTAACCATACGTGATTTATTTTGTTTCATTCACGTGATCACAGTATACGTGGACACTTAAGGTAGGGACACACTATTATCACGTCACGTGAGGTCACGTCGTTCTTTCGTTAACTCACGTCACGTCACATCACGTAGGTATGTTTGAAAATGGTCACACTATAGTCAAATCACTCACGTGGTTTGGTCACATTTGATTACACAGTGTCAATGACTTTCATTCAAGATGGAGTGTGCTAGTTCAACTAGTTCTTCTGATTGGGAATATGATTTAGAAAATGCTGCTGCTTTTATCGTTATAAGTGAACAAAAGAAAAAAAGGTCAGAATGTTGGTCCCTATAGCTGGTTAATTTATAATTGTATAAAACTTCGTGAAGTCTCACTTGTTCTATTAATTTTTCTTCCATATCTAATAAAAACTGAATTTGTATAAAACAAGCTTCAATTTTCAACCAGTCAAAGTTCAAAATCGAAATGAAATGTGATATCACGTAACATAAAATATGTGAAACGATAGAAAAATAGAAACATGATATCACGTGAGGTGCAATGAAATATTACAATATCACGTGAGTGGGGGGGGGGTAATGTGTTTCTAACATATTAAAACAGTACGTATTAATAGATTTCACATATTAATCGTGTGACGTGACGTTACGTGAGATAGCAAAATAAGACGTGAGCTCATGTGACGTGATAATAGTGTGTCCCTACCTTTACATTCATATTCACGTACAAAAACGAGACCCTTACTATTTCATAATAGGAATCAGCGCGCCACGACGACGACGTTTATGACGGTATTTATAATGTATAGTTATACCTATATATATATTAATGGCCGTCGAGTATTGCTTATATTTTGTGAATATCATATATATATATAAGCAATAATCGACGGCCATTAATTGGGGAAAAATATTTAAAAATAGCTGGAAAATTAAATTCAACTATAATAATTAGGAAGTGGATGTTCATGCTCCAAAAAATTTAAAAATATGCATTAAAAATAATTTTATTTACAACTTATTTTGTTTATTAAAAATTTAAAATATATAGGTATAAAATAATTATTCTTAAAATTATAACTTTAAAAAGAACTGTTGGTGAATTTTTTGTTAATCTGAAAATTATAAAGATGGGTAGATATTAGAAACCAAATACTAACTAAGCATTAAATAATTTTAAAATATACCTAGTAATTGGGAATTGTACTGGATAATCAATGTTTTCTTTAAATTATCAAAAGTAAATCTTCTTCTGTTATCCGATAACAACATTTTGAATTTTGAAAAATTCTACATCGGTAGATGAGACAGGAGCATATTTCAAATATGGTAGGTCTGACGTAGTTAGTTCTTCTTCCAAGTCTTGAATAATAACACGATTTTTTCCTGCCAAAATGTTTGAAATTGTATTCAAATTTTTCAGTCCATGATTTTTATCATAAACCCTATCAAGTTTGGTTTGTATAGATTTTCCTACATTTCCTGGGGCTTGAAAAATGTTAGCTTTAACTTTTTCTACTGTTAAAATAGAATCTGTCTATACTATTCTATACTATATTATATAATATACTATACTATTATTATTATTAACAATAATCGTATAATGTAATCATGACATAATTCAAGTATTAATACCACGAAAAAACAGTTAATTATTTTGGTCGGGAATAGGTTAGGTTATAAAACCGGTATTGAAAATACGAGGTAATTATGTTAGTATTTAGATATTTACCTTGATTACCGATAGCCAATAACCGCTTCCAGCACTCAAAAACTAAAAGTGGTTATCGGTTTTCGGTTCTCAAATTTACGGTTTTTTACCGGTTTTCGTTACAAACCAGTTACCGGTTTTAAGCCCTGGATTAAATTATACAATTGGTATCGCATGCCTCCTAGTATGCACAAAATTTTGATGTATGGGTCCATAGTCATACAATATGCACTTCTAATATGACAGCTATCGGAAGAAGCACAAGAATCCCGTAATAAAGATTATTCAAATTTTAGAGAAAATAATACTCGGAAAATGTCAAAAATAAGTACAAATACCAATTTAATGCATGCATTATTAATAAGTTCAGATCCAGTGATTTCTTCCAAGAGAAAAATTCTAAAATCACCTACTACTGAAGTAACTACAGAAGTAAAAAAATTATTAATTATAAATTAAGAAGAAACAGAAGAAACAGAAGATTCACAAATATCTATAGAAAATAGCGAGTCTGATTTAGAATAATTTTATTGTAAAAATGAAGATTAAATAATTAATACCTTATTATATTTTTATTATAAAATATAACACATTATTTACGATTTATGCTTTTGGGTATCAACCTTAAATATTAATTATTTTTAATAATAAATTAAACTTGATATAAATATATATATATAAGATATAATATATATAAGTATATAAATTTTATTAAAATCTAAACAAATAAAACAATACAATGGACAGGTTCATGGGCGTAGCTAAAATTTGAATCAGGGAGGGGCAAAAATATAAAATGACTAGTGTTAAACTCGCAATTAAAATAATCAGACTAATATAATAAGACATAATAGACCATTGGATAACACATAAAATGTCAAAACGATTACACGTGTAGATATCACTCGGTCCCACTAAACTATTTTTAGAATTATATCTTATTTTATTTTTGATTTTAATGTAAAGCTTACAAGTTTGGTATAAATAAATATAATTCAGTTTGAGGCACAGGGGTGGGCAAGTGCCCCCCTCTGCCCCACCCTCGCTACACCCATGGACAGGTTAATCAAAATACCTATTGAATCTCAATAAAAGAGTCATCTCAAAATGTTATTTACTATTCAATTTCTTCTCTTATTCAATAAATTTAATAGTATCATAGATTATGGAATATTTCTAATAATAATAGAGTACAATTATTATTAAGAATTATTTAGTCAATGTTAATATATATAATATGGCTATTTTTACTCAATAGTCTGAAGACGGTTGAGTACCCCCCCCCCCCCCCCCCGAGACCGGTGGGATCCCAATTAATAGTTAAATATTATAAATTTATAAATATTATAATTTTACAAAAATATTTTTTTAGTAAATATAGAATATCTAGTATTAAATTATCTGAATAACTATGCCAATTAATATTATCTTATTATTTTAAACCTTGATAACTTTATATTTTATAAAATAACTGTAGTACCTAATCGATTGCATATAATTGTATATAATTTTATACCCATACTATGTAAGTCTTGTTTATAATACTATTAAAAAAAAAAAAAAAAAAAAATACATAAAAATATTCAAAAAGCAACCAATAATAAATAATTTTAAAATGGTTTTATGCATTTTTAAGAATAATGAAGAAAAAAATGTATTATTTATCAAAATTGAAGAAGCTCTTATTCAGTTAATTTTGAATTTAGAATCATAGTTGATTCAGCAAAATTAACTAAAAAAAAAAAAAAACTGCACATGCGTAAACCAAATAAAAATATTGAAATGTATCTACATATATATGCATATTTATATACCACCAGCTTGTAAAAAAAAAATCAATGTATTCCAATATAATCCGGCCGAGAAATTAAGTGTTCCCTAAATTGGTGAACACACTATGCGTGATTAATTATTAAATTTTATAATTTTTATTATTAAATTGTTAAATTTATAAATTTTGATATTAATAATTTATAGGTACATTTTTAAATTTAAATACATAATGAAAAAAATAATTGGAAGTATATTTTACAACAAATAATATTTTGTAGACTGGTAAAGCAAATGGGGCTAAAAAGATGGTGCTTGGAACTGAAGATGGTACTTTTAGACCAATTTTAAACTGTTAATTTTATTGCTATCCCCATTGATTTTATAAACATAGACATGTCAAATAAACATGTATTTTTATTTATAACATATAGAAATACATGCTTCTGAAGAGTTGATATCATAAATAAAAAAAAAAAAGAAATAATGTAAAAATAATAATTCTTCTCTTTACTTAGTATCTAAAATATGATAAAATAAAAATATAAAAATGCTTCATAACATTTTAAATTTTTTATTAGTACAATATTGTGTATCTTTATAAAGATAAGTGTAATATATGCTTGTATAGTATTGGGTGAACATATACATAATACAGAAACAGTAGCCCAATACTTCACATTGTATAGGGAAATTTGTAGAAAGTTATGCTACCTGTTGAAGTAAATACTGAGGAACGTTAAGTTTCCATGGTTAATTGTTCTATTCGTGTCAATGCTAAGCCTCTACAAAATTGTAATTTGTGGTTATTTTTTATTTCGAGAGTTTTTCATAAGCTCTTGTCTCTTACACTTCCTGGTCCTTTACATATTTTTTCATACAATTGTTTGGATAGAACAGATATGTCATGTATGTGTAAGAATATCTATAATAGGTGCCGATTTTATAAAATAAATATTAAAAATAGTACTTTTGTCAGTAAATAAAACGTTTCTATAATAAAATAAGGAAATTAATTAAAATAATAAAAATAAATTATATATTACTTATTTTTGATACTATACATTGTACCTAACATAGGAATATAAAATTGAATATATAGTTCACAGTTTACGTATCTTACAGTACATGATATATATATTAATAAATGGTACCTGGTTATACTAATTTAAAATATATGACAATTTTAAATAGTATCATATATATAACAAGGGCGAGAACATAAAATAATAATATTAAACATAAATAGTTATCTTATAGAATAATAGGGATAATATTATACTTCTAGTTCGTCATCATGCATTTGTCTCTTGCTTAACAGTGATTCCATTGCAGCGCTACGGAAGCCTGTAGTTTTATGGTGTCCCAGTTTTGTTCCCGAGTTGGTTTCCTCTATGGCTTTTCTTAGCTATAACGAAATTATTGTTATTATGGTACCTAACGAATTATAATGTGTCTACGGGGTTTAAAGCGCTGCCAAAACTTACTTCTTTTAAGCCAACGACGCCAACTAAACGGCCGATGGCGGTCACATACGCGTGATTGACGCCAACTAACGAGAACACCGAGTGCACCTTGAGTAAAGAAGTTCTCTCGACTAGTTGAAATGGCGCTGGGTCAATGTGACATGAACCGAAGTCTAATATTTTGTCCATTTCCTTTCGTTCCCATTCACTTTGTTCTTCTGGCGACATGTCTATGACTCGCTCTTTGGGCTGAAGAGGAAATAATAGCAAAGTAAGTAATGAAAACGTTATGGAATTCTACAGAAGTAGCAGTCGTTTCAATAAATACCAGTTGGACTTTTTTGGACACTTGTATGATTTCCGATAAACTTTTATCTTTGTCCGTGATATCTGTCAAGCTCTGCTGATCCGGGTTGGCATCCCGCAGTGTAGCGGACTTATGAAAGATAGCTTCAAACGCTATTCTTATGCTAAAAAATTTGTAATTTTAATCAATCAATAATGCATTACCAACCGAGTACAGCAAATTAAAGCCTTAGTGTCGAATTGACCAATCACAGATCACATCAAATAATTGATATGATCTGCAGTTCTACTATTTTTTTATTTCTTCTTACCGACTCTCGGCTCCGGTTATTGTTGAATATGGTGTGACCGAGGGGGTCATCATCGGAGTCAGGTTATGCAATGTGAACGAGTTGGTCTTTTTTAATATTGACTTCTTCGGATGACTTTTCGAAGAGTTACATTCATTCTGAAAACAACATAATAGACGTTAACAGTCGTAACAGTCGAAAAAAAATGTAAACAAAATGTATAGCGCGTAACGGTACTTTTATGTATATTTAATGTCATGCAATTACATATATTTGTAGATGAAGATGATATAGATCAGACACGATCAATGATTAATCTAATCGTCATAGGCTCAACTAGGGTAAAAAATCTGGGCGGCTACAGTCCTCCTACCAAAACTTAAAATAACCTGCAGATTACCCATCCTCTTATATACCATGTTAATATATTTTACATTTTGAGACAAGTTGGATTTACTGCAATGTGTTTTTTTTTTTGTATGTGACACTATTGTGAGTTAAGTATGCTGTAGGCAGTATGCCATGTATAACATGGAATATTTATGGGGGGGGGGCTAAATCTTGATCCGGGGGGCTAACATCCCCTCATAGTTGCGCCTATGGTAACCGTTACACTTTAGTTGCTGATAGACACGTTTTGAAATTTTGTTATTATCGCGATAGGTATGTCTAATAAATATTATAATGTGGTTACCTTTATTAATGGATTCGTGGACAGTGACTGAGTACTAATCGATTGCTTTCTTTGTACTTGTAGAGAATCTGGTGCTGGTGTGACTTCAAATCTAGATGGCCTTCTTTCTCTGTTTTCTCTTCGTTTTCTTTCGACCTCGTCTAATTTCTCTTGTGCTTCCTTCTGCCATTTAGCAACTATCTGCATCCGTCTCTCTTTGCCTACTTGTCTATCGATCAGTTTTATCAATTCAATCCGAGGCACTGATCCCAACAAAACCATCGAGTCTGAAATAAAAAAACTACATATGTTATCATCCCATGCTCATTTGTATGAGACATTTTAGCTGACCAGGTTTATCGACCAAGGGAAACATTCTTAGTACTTTATTTTCTCTCAAAACTTTTTTTAGGTCTCTGTAACTCATATTGTACCATATGTATTTAACATCTCTGATCATAAAATCTTCTACATACACATTGTAAATACCTAAGAACATACACTAAATTTATAATAAGGTTTCAATTGTTTTACTTTATGATGTTAAATAAATAAAATTATACCCGAGCTAGACGGGAGAAGATCCGGTAAATAAGGGAGATTCTTAATTAATATAATACTGTCGTACAGTGAAGGTTGTAGTAATACTGCTACTGCATTCGATATCAACACGGCGATCTATTAAATAACAATATTAAATATTTTTGATTGAGATTATTTATTATGCGTGAAATCAATTGAATTTTTAATGATAATAAAATATACCATAACTGGCACAATGTGAGTGATTTGTCCTGTCATTTCGAAAGCAATAACAGATACTGATATCGAATGGGTGACAGCTCCGGCAAATGCTGCTGCTCCAACTACAGCATAACCTCCTGAATTTTTTATTTCTTTAGTCGTTATCAAATCGGAAATCATCTAATAATACAATACATTTCTTATGCGTTTAATTATATTCACCTGGTATAATAGGTGTGATGAATTTTCCATGTCTAACACCATACGGGAACCATAAATGCATGAGTTCTCCGATAATTCGACCAAATGCAGCTCCTGTTTTAAAAACTGGTATGAAACTACCGGATGGTATTGGAATGGTTGATGCAATTATGGAAAACACAAACTGAAAATAAATTTTAAGTAACTAGATGAAATTATTATTATTGATACTTTAAACAATGCTTGAATTGTATACAAAGTAATAAATCGTCTATAGACGCATAAATTATGATCTTTTACTGTTATTTTAAAATTAAATATTAAATTAACGCCTTTTATCTAATATAGAAGACATTTAAAAAATAAAAAAACTAAGTTACTCCACAAAGGTCCTTATGAATTAAAACAATGGTGTTAAATACAGTAGAGCCTCGATAATTCGAACACTTAATAATCCAGTGAACGCAGTAATCCGGACAGCATAAGTCCATTTGTTCATAACATTTTGTAATTTGTTCGGAATTCCGAAACTCAATTTATCTATAAAATATTGTTATTGGTAAAAATAATTTCTTCATTTTTGTAATTCAATATGTTAAAGTTATTTATTATTTTTGTCATTTAAAGTGTAATAAATATAAAGGTGGTGGAATAAAAAATAAAAATCTTAGTCATTTGATCTTGATAAAACTTCGGTAATCCGAACGATGTTCGGTCTGAATTTGTCTGGACTATCGAGGCTCTACTGTAGTATTTTTTCTTATAGTAATACGTTATAAACGATGTAAGCCGATAAACATATGAAGACGTTAGTATTTTCCGTCCGCCAATGGTTCATCATTTCTGCCTCTTCAATGGTAAACTCTTTCTTCGTCCATGTAAAATTGCTAAACAGCCCTGTTAACTTAAAATAAAAATAAAAAAACAATTAGTATTTACAAGAAAATGCACCCAATATTGTAGAGTACAATCATAATTTGTTCTTTCTCACTTGGTCATGTACGTTTAGTTCACCAGCAATATATTTACCGGTTCCTAAAGGAAATGTGATTGTCAACGAGAGAAACGTGATGAGACTTGGATACAAAAATCGGCTATAAAATAAGCATTCGATTTTAAAAACCAAATAAATTGAAAAGTCTCATGAAGATCTGAAGTATAGTCGAGTGCTGATACTCACTTACTTCTTTTGTAGGAAAGAATTCATTCTTTTACTCTGTCTCATAAACAATACATACTGCCTGTGCGCCCAAACGTAGCCAGCTCCAATTATGCCACAGACTACCCTACAAGGACATAATGTAATAGTGATAATATGTAACTCAATTATATATATATATAAATAATACTGTAAACAAGGACGCCTGTAATGTTATATTCAGAGGAGGGACGAACTAAGGCGATATATGTTTGTAAATGAAAAATTTTTGTTTACAAGTCCTACATTTAGATTAGAATTTCAAATAATTATAAATGTTTAAAATAAAATTTTTTTAATAAAAAACAAATTACAAAACTAATAACACAGGAAAACTGGTTCCTCGTGGTTCTTGCTATATCTATGCGTCGACTTAGTGAACAACTTTAATATTAAAGAAAGAAATTTCGTTCATTACTCTTTCATTATATCCATATGAGAGCCCATGGCTGCAGAATGCAGTTTAACTTACCCAAGTAAAGCAAAAACCGTCAATTCTTGAGGATCGAACGGATATTCCATCGTGAAATGAGTCGGGAAAAAAGCCTTTACCGTATCTAAACATATTTATTAGTAATTAGTTTTAATCATACATCGTATATGTACATGTGATTAGTAGAAGGTTAAGTTTTTCGCCGAATAGGTAGTAAGTAGGACCTATATAGCTACCAATAGTCATATAATATACGAACCAGCTTTATTGAACCAGACAGCTAGTAATCTGAATACTGTCGCGCTACAGACGGCTGAAAAAAAACCTCTCCAGTAATTTCTCACTGCAAAATATACGGTGGTTACTTCAATGCTGAAAAGCACGCCACCAATGGGCGCCCCAAAACAACTCGCCACTCCTACCGCACACGCCGCAGCCAACATCTCTGTGTTCCTCGATTCATTCTCATATATTCCTTTGAACGAAGTAATTACTTTAGTCAACAGTGTGGCCGTTATGCTGGCAATATGCACGAACGGACCCTGTGGGTTTAAAAGAATCAAATGCGATTTTTAAAAGCGTACAAATATTATTCTTATTTCTTATAAAACATTCAAATTTACACTGTACTTATGTATACGCATCATAATAATTTGCGCTTACTAATATGTATGTCTACAATGTTTGAAAACTCCTTCGTAGTAAGAATTACATGTTGCTTAACATATTTATAATATATTTATGCAACAACGAAGTATATTCAATTCGATCAATTACTGATTTAATTGTGCTGTCACTCTATAATAATTTTTACTAACAGCCAAAAAAGTGTTAGTGGTTTTTTGTCATTTTTATAACTGTTGCACGTTTTTGTTCGAAGTGTTAAAGTCCCCATTATAAACGCAGGGTTTCCAAACTTTTTAGATCCTTATTAAACTTTTATAAATACTCTATAGCGGCGGTTCCCAAAGTGTGCGCCGCGGCGCCCTGGTGTGCCGCAATGTCTGTATAGGGGCGTCGCGCCGTCATGAAATACTATCTGGTCTAAAATTTTTCTTATGATTATTCATGTTATGACTTGGGGAAGGGTGCCCTGAAAAATCCTAATATCAAAAAGGGCGTCGTGAGTCGAAAAAGTTTGGGAAGCACTGCTCTACAGTATTATAGTACTATTTTTTTATCTACAACCGACTGACCTCTTTGCCTAGAGGTAGACCAGAACCTAAAGTGGCCGTGACGCCGATTACTTTCGCGATCAATGTTCTTAATGTTAGAAATTCTTTTAACGCGACACCTCTTAATATGGTTTTCATCTCTGGTATACCAGAACCTATAAATCAAAAAAATTACCACTGTGGGATTTTACTTGCAAATAACTTGCATATTAAAACAAACCAATTGATTGAGGCGCGACTAAGTGTACGAATCCAGCTGCAAATGTTATCAAACTGACGGGTAACAGTACCCAAGAAATATACTGTAAATACTGGTTGAACGCCATATCTTTGAATAACCATATTCTTCCTGGATACGAAGTATAAAATTATAAACAAATATGTTATAATTGTAGCTATTGCTAAATTAACAGCTAATAGAATAACGAATCATTATAAATTAATTAAAGTTTTTGAAAGTTAAAAAAACATTTCAATGTTATATAATATTAATTTTTTTTTTTACAATTTTCAATCAACTCTAATTACCTAATGAATAATGAAATGTTGTTTAGTATTAACACACTTGTACAGTCTCTTATAGCTGTATCTTAATAATGTATCTTTTTATGTATTCAATTTTTGCATAAAACTGTCAAAAACTGGGCTAAATGAATGAGAGTCCGTATTTTTATAACGGCACAATAGAAAAAAATGTAAAGCTAAACTCAATAATAGCATAGCAATAAAATATTGAAATTTTAACTCTCGTTATCTTTATTTATTACGAGAAAGAAAAAAAAACGAAGGTTATTAATCATACTAATAACCAAGACATGGAATCGATTTAAGTCAATCGAACTTATATCATAATGGTCAGTTGATTGTATGACAAAATACCTGTATTAATATCGTTCTATAAACTGACCTTCGTTAGTGAAGTCTATACCATAGTCCATGAAGAAACTAAGCACGGCCATAACGAGACCTAGTAGAGTGAGGAATACCCAATCTTCGCTGAGCTTAGCGAATGAATGACGCCATACTACTTCTAAAGTTGAACTTATTTTCCCGCCGTACTTGCTAAACTCTTCGTTTGTATTGCCGTGAATAGCGGGCTCGGGTATGTTTCTTGTTGCTTTGACATAGTCACCCAATTCTTTCGTGTAACGTCCATACATCTGTGCCATAATAAAACGATATTACTGAACCATCAAACACGCATCATAATATTACTGAGGACATTGAATAACACTAGCTATATATTTTATTCATTATCATTAATCGCTGAACTTATTATTTATTAATGTAAGTTATCAAAGTTCAATGGGTCGTGTGACTATAAAGTTACTGGACAGAGGGGAAATTATATGAAAAAGTTAGAAGTTAATTTTGTATTTTAAGAGACGCTGACTGCTAAATGGTATTATAAATTCTAATAACAAGTAAGTAAGGAGGTGGATAGCGAATAATTATGAACTATGTACTCTTTATCGATATTTTATTACGTTGACTAGATTATTATGTTCCTACAAAAGTGTTTTTTTTTGTATTGAACCTATAATCTATTTATCTATATGTAAATTGTTATGCATTTTTAATCCGTTTAAAAGTAAAAAATAACATTAAATAATATAAAAATGAAGAAATAACATCTATGCACAACAATAAATTTAATATAAATCGATTTGTGTTAATTTGTTTATATAAATGGGGAAAATATAAAAAAAAAATTACTTTTTATGGTAAAACATATTATAACATTAATTTAATGAGTACTTCGATGATATAACGCACAAATGTCAAATGTTTTTTTAATTTTACAGAACGATTTTAAAGTTTATACTATTAGAATCCGTACTTAAAACAAATTAAGTCCCCTTTAGTGGAGTAAGTATGTGCTCTTTATAAAAAAATGTGTACTTTATGAATATAGTAATAATGGTAAGAAAATCAGGGTTGGTAACAGAGGCAGTCCGGGTATAAAGGGATCCGTGGGGTTAATCAACTCGACCTATTATTATCACACTTCAACTAGTAAATATTTTGGAAGTAGCCGAATTGGTTCCGGATGGAAAAAAGGTATTTTATTAGGTATAGCTGAATTGGTTCTCGTTTGTGTACAGGTAAAATAGTGACAATTTTAATTTGTAACACAATTTACCTACACTATTAAAAATTAAAATCCAGTGGGCCAGTGCATAGAGAGAAAAAACAAAATTTTAAAAGCTATATACATGACATATAGACACAATTATTATATCGATAAGATAAAGTATAGAAATATAATACACTATAGATTACTAGAGAATAGCAAATTATCGATATTAAGATAAAAATTGAAACTTTAAACAGCATTCAGATACTAAATTATATTAAATTTCGAAGTAATAATCAAAGGAAACTTACTGGCAAACAGGAAAGAAGTAACTAACATTTGGAAAATTGTATGACTGACTACATTAATAAATGATTACAAGAATTAAATATTTTAAGAAAGTTAGCTTCAAATTTACAAAACAATTGTTTTAAATTGTATTTATTATATTTTATTATTTTTATTTAAAGCGATGACAAGTTGACTTCCAAATCAACAATTTAAAATTGTAGATATTTTATAATTTTTTTTTAACACACATTAATGCACATTTTTAACCAAGCCTACTTTTAAGTTGACAGACTTAAAGCCTGTAATATTGAGAAGGAAAGTGTGCGTAATTAAACAGACCCCAATTCGGTTATATCTAATAATATACCTTTTTCAGACGGGAACCAATTCGGTACCAACCAATATTTTTAGTAATAGTGCTTAATTTATCTTTTTTATACTTTTTGTATTCTACAAAAAATACAAAAATTTAAATTAAATATTAGATTCATTTTTATCAATATGATACTATCGTTGGTCCGGTCCGGGAGACGATTTACCCTTTGCCTCCGTGGCCAGACCACCCTTGATTGGTAATATACAAATATAAAACGTTTTATATGTTACACATATTGTATACCTACGTATAAAACAAATTTAACATAATTGTTTTGTTTTTAAAATTTACTCTTAAAAAATTTTAAATACTTTCTATTTTAAATACTAAGTAAGGTTTTCAATTATTATTATTTTTTCTTCTTCTTCTTCTTTCCAGTTTTTACAGTGCATTTAGGACCTTCGCTGCCTCAACCACTCCTCTCAACCTATCTCTGTCATTGTTGTTTTCAATTCTTGTTTCTTCTAAGATTTCCGTGAGATCTGTTTTCACCCTGTCCGTCCATCTTTGTCTCGGTCGCCTCCTGGGCCTTTTTCCGTTCAATCTTCCAGTAAACATATTTTTTACGAAAATAATTTTAAACGAAAACCATACGAATTCAATATAATAACTTACTGTCAATTAATACTAAATACAAATTACTATTTATTCTTATAGATAACTAACGAGCTCATGTAACTCTGTTAAGGATGCTTTTAAGTATATATTTTTATTTTACGTTATTGAACATTTTTTTCATTTAAAACTAAAATGTAACGTTATTGCATTTCTTAGTGCTCATAACATAAACGAGTACAGTAAATCCTCGTATAACGTCGCCTCATTTAGTGTTGTTTCGTTATTGCGTCGTAGAAGTTAAAGCCCTTATGTTTCGTTTAACACTGGAACGGTGTCAGTATAACATCATTTGTAATGCATTTGTTCATCATATTTTTGTTATATTTATATACATATATTGCCATTATTATATTTATTATTATATTATTAATTATATTCAGTGATCGGTGTAAAAAGTTATAATATACATAAAATATGAAAATATATAATATTCTTAAAACTAAAATAAAATAGTCGAACCCGCAATAGCTTGAGTTTGAAAATAGTTTTTTTGATAATACAATTATGAGCTATTTCTTCAGATTTTAAATTAAAATACTTTTAATAGGATCTGAAATGTAATTCAAATTATTGCAACTTGATTATACAATGTATGAGTAGGTTAATCAATTTAATTAATTATAAGTATTCTATACATAATATTACAGTATCATTATATTATTATATACTCAATAGAATAATTTAAGAATATTAATACCTAGATACAACTTTTAAGTTTTATTGTTATATTATGAATTATTTAATTTATATTTTAATAATTGTATAGTTATTTAAATTGTTCTACTTTTTGTGGAGTCCAAATTTAAAATACTAATAAAAATAGTATTAATTAAATTAAAAATGTATAAATAAAAAGTTAAAAATAATAAATAAATAAATGAAAATAAAAATAAACTTTACAATTTACTCTTAAGTTACTTAAATTATTAACACGGATACAAAATGGAATTTAAGCCAAAACTTACCAGTAATTAAAAATATTTAATAGAATTTCTGTCTAATTAAAATACACAACATTTTTAATTATTGATGAATACTGATTCCTTTAAATACATTTTTACGTATACAACCATATGTTTAAAGATAGTTTTAAAAAAAATGTATCTGTTATACGCAAAAATAATATAATTGTCTTCAAACCTTACAGTATAAGGTGTAAAGTAACATGTTACATGACTTGTTATTTTTACTGTCATAACAGATTGGATATAAGATTGTCTTTAATTTCATTTGTTTATTCTTATTAGCAAAAGTTATAAAAACCAATTATTTATCATATGACTATTTTTGGACTTTAAGTATAGTCAGTTAACAGCCCTTACTTTTATTCAGTGACTTGCCAATTTGCCATGTGTTGGTTTTCAGGACTACCAAGTACTAAGTAATACAATTATTTTGACTTAGTAATTTATACATATATTATTACTCTTATTTAAAAATATATAAGTGTGAAGCCAAGTGATACCAAAATTGCAAGCAATTTAAATAAGTGGTTAATTCAAAAATAATTAAAGTTACATATTATAAAGACAAACAGAAAAAAGAAGGTTGGTTTGGACAGGACATGCTTGGAAAAAGCATGATTCATTAATAAGAAAAGTAATAGAGGAAAACCCAGTAGGGAAGAGACCTCTTGAAAGACCGCGTTTAAGATAGGAGGATTGCGTTAAGAGAGACACTAAAACAGTCTTGAAACAGAGAAGGAGAGTCATTGACAGGAAATAGCAAAGGATAGAGATAGATGGCAGTATGTTTATTTAGAGGTATGATCTTGAATGGCCGAAACCAAGGAAGAAGAAGAAGAAGTAGAATAAGAATTAAAAAGACAAACATTTATGAAAATTCATACAAATCATAACAAGTTTAAGAGTTTTTGATTTTCACAATGATAAACTAAGCCTATGGAGAACCATGGTAGATTCAGTGGAAAGTAATGGAGATAATAGCTTTTTCTGTCAACAATACCTCATATTAATTTAGAATCACTTGTTTTTAGGCGCAAATCTTTGGATATTCAATTTATGTCCGAATTTATAAAAGTCATTATATCCTGTCCTAACTTAATGTGTTATCTAAATTATAATGTTCCTCCTTATAATCTATGCAACTATCCTAGGTTCTCTATTCCATTTCATTATAATTTCTATTGTTTTAATAACCTCTTAGATAGCATTACCAGAGAATGTAATGAAACGAAAAATATGGATTTATTTGTTACATGAGATTCACATTTTGTAAGCTAAGTGTCTTTATTACGTTATCGAAATCTGTATCTTTTTTATATAATATATCTTTTTAATCCATCATTAATATTACTACATATAATTTATGTAATAATGTTTTATGTTATGTTCCATTTAACTATTTTTTATAGTAAAGTTTTTTACTTTACTTGAGTCTTATAGGGTTTATAATATATAAATAAATTACATAATTAGGTAGTAAATTAATACGAACTAATAATATATAATAATCAAATGTGGTGCTTATTATGAAACAGAAGTATCTAATCTTACAGAATAATATACTTTCATAATACATAGTTTTACAATTTTTAAGTTTATTTATTTAAACTCAAAGATATTTTTATTATTTGTTTGTATACCTTATTATACAATTGATTAAAATTGATTTAAGTGTGTTTTATAAATACTGAGTACTATTTATTTATTTTCAGCAGGAATTAATACGTGATCAATATATTTAGTTAGTTAATTTTAAATTTTTTTTAAATGTTTTTTTTTATTATTTATATTATTATTAATTGATTAGGTTAGTAAGGTTAGATTATAATGTAGTTATAAAAATAGGATGTTTTTATTCTCATAAATTAAATTAATTATTATTGAAAAAATGTTATGAGTTTGAAAACAATAAATAAATAACATTTATAATAATTAGGTAGGTAAGTACGTATAATACCTTCATGTTAGCATTTTTCTAATTCAAGTGCTCTGACTTTTGAAATAATTATTTTAAGAAGTTACATAATTATGAAGATTTAATTATTACAAATATTGTAAAATAATAATTTTTTATTTTATTATTTTAAGTTTATACTGTTGATATATAATATATACATTTTTTAACTAATGTTATTATATAATTTATTGTAAGTAATATTATGTTAGTAATTGTTCGCGCGTTAAGGACCTTATTGCCACAAGTTCTATAACTACTAATCAGAAATATCACGGAGGAATCAAAAGTTATAGTATTTTAACTATGGTAAAAATTTCATACTTCTACAAAATATCATATAAACCAGATGATGATTTATTTATTCAACAATAAAAAGAAGTATGTAAAAATATTCATTTACACTTTTTGCTGGAAAATAAAATAACATATTCACTATTAAAAAAGAAAAAAAAAACTACGCTGACACGAACAGTTATAATTTAGTTGCAGTCAAAAATTGTTATAAAATCAATTATTTTGTACATAAAAATCATGGTTTATATGAGATTAAGTAGAGTTAACTTACTGTACTTTCAACAAAGTCCACTGGTGGTGGACTAGGATAAAACGAAGCCAATATTTTTGTTTCTCGTTCCAGATCATCATCTTCGCCTAAAGCAGATTTCCGTCTCTTCATAGAGGGTGATGATATTTTTGCCGTTTTTCCTACAGTCATATTTTTTAATTTTATTATTATAATAAATATTTAAGGAACCAGAATTTTTTTTTTTTTAATAATGAGTCTACATACGGATGACTAGTGTTCGCGACTATTTGGCAAGTATAAATGGTGCATAAAAAAACGAGTACAAATTGAATAATCACCTTAAATTGGACTACACTGAGTCAATGATACAACCTACGCTCGTTGTGTTACAGGATAAGCCGCATAAAAAAAAAGTCCAGCATTAAAAGATATTAAATGTCACAAACGTAAAACGTCTTGATAAATGCGAGTTGGTTACACTATATTACGCTATAATGAATACTATTTCTTAAAATATTGTCGCCGTGTTTTATCTCATATTTTATAATATCTAACAGTCAATAAAAATCGATTTTAAGCACAATTAAAATTATAGTTTAGTAATGTTTATTTGAATATCAGTTTAAACCATTAGTCAACAAATGTATTAATAATCACATAGCAGAATAGCAAACTAATTTAATTAATTTAATTGTTATTGTTATACTATCTTATTGTACAGTAATTATTAAAACTATAATACCTATTCTGATTCAATATTTTAAAATATACACTTGTTGTTTATATATGTTTTATATATGGTATTGTTGCTTGTTGCATTTAAATCGGATTGATTTATTTGTTATACTTTAAACCTAGATAATAAGAATTAATTTACTAGCCCATGGAAAAATCATAATTTAATATGATTTAGTTATAACTAGCAATATTTTGCTATTCTATTAATTCATAATATAATAATTTATCAATTTGTCATAGTTCTAATGACTGATAAATAGCAACAATAAATGTACATATGTAGAATTGTAGGAACCATTTTAAATATTAAGAGTCAGTCCAGCTCACTTGACAGTTGAGTACAGTAGTATTAGTATAATAGCAGCAATTATCGATATAAAGGACGGTCATGGCTCTTGTAATCTGGTCTAAGTGAATAAATATATTGTTGCTTATAACTATAATAAAGTAATAAAATGGAAGTGAATCTTCTAGTAACATTTAAGTCTCGATAATTGAATGATTGAATGTTGTAATTGTATTTTATGTATCATTATTTTTTTAAGAAGAAAATTAAATAGGGTTTTTATCAAACATAATATATACACTAATAAATCGTTATACATACTAGTTTAATGTCATTCTCTTACAATTCTAGTGAATTATATTGTACCAAGATTTATTTTTTAGGAATATTGATTAACGTTTTTGATTATATTACCTTTTTAAAAGTACTCCATTGGTTTACGTTTTTTTTTAAGTTTTCCTTTTTGTTCTGAATAAATGATTGATTTTAAATATATTTTCTTGTTTGTCATATTACATTGTTTTTATATCATTGAAGTTATATATACTTATGCCTTCAGTGGCGTAGTTAGGTATGAAAGGGCTCCGGTACAGTAAAAATAATTGAGTTTCTCTTTAATATTATCTTTAATTGAAAATTCAAAATATAGACGTCATATTGTTCTTTCAAATGTGAATACTTACTATGAATCGATAAACGAAAATAATTAACAAATAATTAATAATTATGCAAAGTAAAAAGGAAATCCAATTTAATAAAATAAAAATATATTGCATATTGCGTGAATAATTATTCTACTTAAATACTCTATTGTTATTAGAATTGATTTTGAATAAATAATTGCCACGTATTATTTAATTTTAATATTTAATGATTACCGTTCTTAATATTCTATAATTAATGTCTTAAATATTCTATATTTACTGTTATTATTTTTCGTCTTGTTCATTATAACATTATGTACACTATTGTCCCTGTTGGTCGTTAATAAATAAATTATAAAATGACCAAACTACCACCTATAATTTAGGAATTAAATATATCAACATTTTAAATTATTTGGAGGAAGTATAGTTTCAAAGTTGTCCAAGGATTCCAAGGATCTTTGTGTTCTGGAGCATCGCCCCGTTTTGCACAATCGTAGATAAGCCACTGTATATTTATATAGGTATCAAGAGGCGCAAACTATTTGGAATTATAAAGGAGAAAAACAAAGTTATTTAAAATCCACCTATGAAAAATAAATTAATCGCTGCTGCCGCATAATAAAAATGATGTAATAAAAATAGTATATAATAAAATGTATTTATGTATGTTTATTGTTACGTTTGAAAATTAACCATCAAATGTCGATCAATTGGTCACCCACCTACCAAATTAAGAGGGGAAATTAAATATCAGTAAGGTTTTATCAGAGTATGATTTATCAGATTACTATTTATTAGTTATTACAAAATACTGAATTAACTAAATATACAATATACTAACTTATTTTTAGTAAAGATGCAACTCATTAGTTTCTTTTTTTTTTTTTATTAAAAGAAATTTAAAATCTGTACAGTACATAACAATAAATATATATTATATAAGAACATAATTGACATGATTTATAAAAAGGCTTTCTGAAATATTAAGTGTTCACTAATAAGCCACATATAATACAAGAGTTAGAAGAAAACAATAGACGGAAAATTACAGTCATCGATGTGCATATTCTATAGAAAGTTATGGACAGTTAAAAAAAAGGGATAACCAATTGTTATAAAATTAAAGCGGCTATATTAAGGAAAATAAAATTTAAAGTTAAATATTTCTTAGGAATTCATGAAAAAATACTGTTTAAAAAAAAAAGCTCCATTGCTGAAAAATTTTGAGAATCGTTGGGTTCGACATAAATAATACAATATTTATTGATTACACAAATATTAAGTTTCGTACTGCTCTAGATTTTCAAATTAATATAAAATGTTTGATTAGGATATTAGCATTACATAGAAGTCTGTGGATACAATGTAATATCTGATATCATAACCTACTGTTAATAATGTTTGTTTTATTTTTAAGAAAATGTTATTTCTAAAATTCATTTTTTAAGAGCTAATTTAAAAATCCAGGACGCAATTCATGTATACCTTTTATACGGGACGTAACTCATTTTTTCCCGTTATACTAACATATTTTTCTTTTTTTAGTTGGTTTTTTTTTTTTTTATTGCCCGGGGTGCTAAATTTCTGAATATATGTTGTATAATAACTATATATTTATTGGGTAATTTTTTTAATTATTTTTAATTTTTATTTTGCTTGTATCAAAAACATTAAAGTAATCCAATTTTATATTGTATAGGATTTTTAAAATTTAAAATTGTAATGGAAATTATATACAACTATAAGTATAATATATAAAAATTAATGATTCTATCAAACAGACAGCATTAATACAATCATTATTTATATCAACTTCAGATGTGATTCCTGGAAAAAATTAGTCTAAGTTTACATTTATGGACTTATAGCTAATAAAAAATGTGTACATTCAATAATATATTAATTGTTGTGGATAGATCTAGATATTTTAAAAAACAATGATCCAAGTATTGAAGTTTTAACTATATAGGCAGTTACGTACGCAGAATTTTACAATGGGAGGGGGGGATTTGAAAATAAATAATTACTCAGTTATGACAGGTACATTGGCTTAAAAAATAAAATAGTTGCTTTTTTATTTTTTATTTAAATTAAGCATAAAATACATTTTTTATTAGTCCAATCTAATAATTGTAGTCGCTTAGGTGATGTTTTTGAAAATTGTCCGTGGTTTTAATACATGTGAAAATACACGCTTTGAGATACTATATTAAATCGTTGGTAAATTTAAAAACAAAAATAATACTACGGGCAATGGTGAGGACTTCAAACCGTTAGCTCCCCCTGCGTACGCCCCTGTATATAGGTAATAATTCAGATCTGTAAACTATTGATCAGTTTACTTATATGATATAATGACATGATGTCATAAAGATGTGGTCAATTTCAAACTGTATATTTTATGGAAGTGTAAATATGGGTAAAGTGTAGAAAATAACAATGACGCCTCAGAGGTATTTTTCAGGTGTAGCTTAATAAGATATTATTATACTCAATTCAAAATTTAAAGATTTTTTTTGTTTTATTATTTATTATATATAGACATAATAAAATTAATAGCACAGAAACAATGTGAATCATGAACAACACAATATTATAACTATAATTATTAACAATATTTCTCAAGTTTGTTATTTTATTTTTCATGTTATAGTACCCACCTACTCCTTATTTTCTTGGTGAAACAGTTGTTATTGGAATATATATCATAATAATTACTCCATATACATGAATGTATATTATCTAATAAAAAAAAAACATATACCTATTTATTTATTTAAATTTTAAACGGAAATTAAGATCCAAGTACAATATATATAATAGTACAATATTGACAATGATATTTTAATAAAAATGTTATACCAATAAACCCGTGTACACAGTGATTATTTGGTATTTTTAGCATCTATTTTGATAATTGAGTGTATAAAAAAATATTGATAAGGATATTCTGAAAACGCTACTTAATTACTTTATTTATATTAATTGTTAAATTTATTGGGATATAAAATATTAAATATGAAAAACGTTAAAATATAAATTATATAATTAACATTTATGTTCATTTATTTAACCTATTATGTAGGTATATTTAAATAAAATAAAATTATCTTCAATTTATTTATCATAAAAAATGTTTAGAGTTTATTATCTAAAAAACATATTCTTATATAGTTATTAAATATTAAAAGTACTTATTAGTGAAGTGGTCTTCAACCTTTTCGACTCGCGACACACTTTTCTTACCATACATTTTTCGTGACCCGTGTAAATTTCGTTAACCATGAAAATCAAAAAAAAAAAGTTAAAATTGCTTAATGTACCGATGCCATTGTAGAATTGCTTTTATATCTGAATAAATTAAAATTTATATTTTTCTATGTATCTAGGATTACCTAGATAACCTAGATAGATAGAATGATTTAATTTTTATTATAAGTAATGATACAAAAAAATGCATATAATGATACTGAAAAAAATTATATATAATAACACACAAAACAAATTAGTATGTTATTTATTACTGATTATTTTCACACAAAATACATCTGTTTCGGCTCAATTTCACGCAATGCAGTTTATAGATTACATGTAGATTAGTTTTATGGATTGAATCGGGCTATCGCTCTATCATTACTTCATTTGACTGTTCATTTTTTTTTTTTTATATCAAATGAAGGCTTCAACAGCAAAGGTTATTAGCCATTAGATGTTACATATTACATACATTATGTGTTACCTTTAAAGTTAAGATTTACTAATAATTGTGATACTTAAGAATGTGATAATTTTCAGAGTTGGCTTTTCGCCAAGTACTTTTACTATGTTGGATGGCATGCTTAGGTCGGTACGTATTGAAGTATATTGTGTACACTTCTACACTATGTGTTCGACAGTTAATGATTTGTGATTTGTGTCGCATATTGGTTGAGGATTTTTTCTAATTAAGTATAAATGTATGAGAAAAAGTGTTCATTCTTATCTTCTACACATATAAAATAGTACGGTTTCGGATTTATTCGTCAATTTTTTTTATCCGATATCGTTTGAAATACATAATAATATTATGATTATAATATATTAATATAATATTATACATTATAATATATATATATATATATATATATATATATGAATTTGAAGTTACTAAATTTTAAGCAGAAGACTTATCGTGACCCAATCTTTTAGCTTACGCGACCCAAAATTGGGTCATGTCCCACAAGTTGAAGACCACTGTATTAGTGGACTATGAGGTTCATAAGTAGAGGTCGAATTTTTATGATTTTATACATTTGTTTTTAGTCTATACAGTTAAATAAGAGTCAGATATCTTTACGATTCATGAAACACAGAATTCTCTGAATAAATGTATTTTGCATAAAGAGCTTATTTTAGGGGTTAGGGAATATTCAATACGTTAAAGACTATTTGAGAATATTTTATAAACATTTTTTTCGAAGAAAATAATTTATATTACCTATTATTTGTCTGTAAGACCATGCACGTATTACGTACTTCGGATTTTTGATAATATTGTTCAAAAAATACAATATTCACGATATGAGTTATTTACATATTCTTCTAGGTTGTTATAAAAATTAATCACTAGATATCAGGGGTAATTCACGTACGGTTAAAATTTGCATGAAAACCGTAAAAAAAGTTATTGTTAATCAAATTAATAATAACATTTAGTAATTGATAAATTTAAACCAAATAATTAAAATAATTTTTTTTTTTTACAGAATATTGAAAGAATATTTGTATTTTTAAAGACATAAAACATCATATTTTAAGGGAATTCAACATTGATATAAATATCAACCCTAACGCGGTATAAAACTGTAGAAGTTAGGAAGGTCGGATTTTGACTCTAAAAAAAGTTTTGAAATTGTCAATTTGTCTTCTAGAGATCGATCGAGGCGATTTTTTTTAAATTCATTACTGGCCTAGTAATTAAATATTACAAATCTGTAATTTTAAACGTTGATAATAAATAGATTTTTAATCATTTAAAAAAACTGTTCGATCATTCCCCAGTAGACAGACCGGCAAATTTAAATCTTTTTACAGATTTTAAATTCGATTATTCAAAATCCCACAGTTGTATACTGCTTATGAGCCTTTTGAGACCGGAAACAATAATTAATTTATGAAAAACACCGTTTTAATGACGTTGCGGATTGAAACTACTGTACGTGCGTCACATTTCGCGCTACTCCCCACCACTCTCACACTACTTCACAACTAAGACTAGTGTGGCGCCTGCGGTATCGATAAGATAATATTTTTAGAATCATAATAATAATAATACCAATATTATCTTCTACGGCTGTATGGAAACCGGCTATGGCTATAATACCTATTGTAATTGTATAGTACAAATACTATAACTAATAATATAATAATATAACTAGTATTTCTGTCATTACTCATCGAGGTATGAACTTGAAATTTCATTCCTCAACTGCATGGTGAAATTTTATTTTCGAATTATAATTTATAATGGATAATTTAAAAAATTGGAGGAAAGGTAAAAAAACAAAGGTGCTTTTATCTAGACGTAAAAAGCACCCGGGAAATATATCTGCGTTGATAAAAACTACAGACAAAGTAAGAAAGACAAAATTAAAGGATATTATTTCAGTTTAAATTAATTTTTGAATTCATATATAATTTATAGAATAACGATTCTTTTTCTGTCGATACTACTGCGATTAGTGAAAATGAAAAGTAAGTATATTTTTATTTTACAATTACGTATTTTTTTTTTTTTTTTTAATTTTAAATATTGATTTTGTTGGTATTTTTGGTTAGCGGAAATCATTATCTAGGTCGAATTGCGTGAATAACCAAATTAGTTCGTTTAGATTTCAAAGAATTGATCAAAAATGCACTACAAATTCAGTGAAAATTTACTTTATTTCACAATACACATGTTATTATATTATATAAAATAATAATAAATAATAGATAATAGATATATATTTTGTGGTACAAAATAAAAATTAATTATAGGTACCTATTCGTATTACATATTATTGAGTTTCGAATGGAAATAATAGTCCAAAAAACAATTTTAAAAATTTTTCTATTTCTGATTCTCTAACTTTTACGCACGCAATTCAAACCTGTGCCGAAAAATACTCGAACCAACTCCGCTCTGTTACAAATAAATTGTGCACGCAATTCGTTTGCAGTTATTATAATACATGGGTGGATAGGCCATTTTTGGCCTACCGGGAAATTTTAAAAAGGGGCCCCCACAAAAAAAAAAGTCGCTCTCAAGTACATTATTATATGAATTTTATTAAGTACCGCGTCAAAACAAAGCATAACACATAACCCAACAATGTATAACAAAACAGATTTTAAAAATCATTTATTTAGTTTTTAATTTTAAAATAATAACATTCTACCAAATACTGGGCTCCTAGCTCCTAATTTATTAATGATGTGTTCAGAATCAATTTTTTTGAAAATATTTTTCTCTACATTTATTAACAACATACTCTCTTATACATTCTGACCTATTGTATTTCTTAAATAATTTTTTACAAAATTTAATTTAGAAAATGTACGAGTAAAATGCGGCGGCTGCGTGCCAATAAGAAATCTTTTGTAAATAGTAATAGATATATATATGATTATAATTTTTTTATTTTAAAATTCAAATTTCTAACGTAAGTAATTGCATAATAAAGGGCCCCATTACAAAAATATGAAGGAGGGCCCACCGGGAAATGCCCGGTTTCCCGGTAAGCCTATCCGCCCATGTTATAATATATAACATTATACTTTTTTATTTAAAAATTGTGTTAATCGAGATAACCCGGAAGTCTATACCAAGTAATGTAGAAAATATTTCAGTTGTCGATATAACCCGAAAGTACCATTTTGTTGTAATTTAAAAATATTATTTGTGGCCCGTGGGTACTTGAAACTTTTAAAGTATATTATTATATTGTATACATACGATAATTGGAAATATTTTGAATACATTTATTATATTTGTGGTGAATAATTTCTTATTATATTAATAATAATATACATATTTTTTTTTTTTTTTTTGATATGGAAGTATTCCCTTTCAACCACATATGCACGGAAAAGTTACTTGTTTGGATTCTAAAGAAGATGAAATATTAGCTTTACCACTTGACGATATATCTCAACCTTCAGATTTAAATATTTCAACCTCTCCTTTAAAAGAAAATTTAAATACAGATGCAGATATACTCGGAAGAAGAATTGTGAATATTTCGCATTTATTTAATGCAATTAAATTGATTGATAGTCATAAACCTTTTGACTGCAGTTTTAAAGATATGCGAATTATTAAAGAAATTAAATATGGTTTTAAATCCACTTTTGTTTTTAAATGTGATATGTGTAACACTATTAGAAAATGTAAATATGCAGTATTATAAGTATAAGTATAAGTATACAAACTAGTACAGTCATGCATGTGTAGAATATACGTGTAATGTAAAAGTAATATAAACGACAACACGGTTGCCGATTATAGAATGACGTGACGCTCCAGAAATTATTAGGAACTGTTTGCCGACCGCGATAGTACCAGCGATTTTGTTTTAAGAGTGGGGACTGTCGAACAGTAAACAACGCCATCTCTGGAGCGTTTTTTTCTTTTAAACGTCGATGTTGAATCCCCTTAAGGATTTAAGACAATATTATTTCGACCTCTATTCATAATTAATAAAAAATGCTGAGGAATATACTACACGTATGTTTAAATAAATGCGTTCACGTATAATACGGCGCAAAATACTTAAACTTGAATTAAATCGATTGGCTCCTATTCCAATAATTGGTAAATTGGTTTGCTCACGAGTAAGGTTTAACAGCTTGGCAATCATTTTTGACACAATATTTGTGATCCACACCCCAATACAACCCGAACTTTTATTTTTTCGCCAAGACAGACTAATACTGATACTATGGCAATTTATAGAAAGACATGATTGACGCTTTGGGCTAATCAAAGTGATGATCTAAAATATGAGAACTTTTGGGTTGACGGATCTCAGTCATCGTTATGCATAATTGCTTTATAACAATAACAAAACCTCCCATTCTTGTATGTTATCTTCGAAACTTGGTAATGCTACTGGTGCTAGCTTTGTTCTTTGACCATATACTGGAGTAGGTAGGTACTTGATAAGATATTATGCAATGAAGAATTATGATTTTTTTTAAGTATTAATTTCTTACATTTCTGATCTAATAAAAAAAATAAAGTACTCTTTGAAAGTTTCTCTTCTCTCTGTATTAGAAATTTCATCATTATCATAATCTATTAGTTCAATTTCACATAGAACTAGTATACCCGTTGCGAAAATTCATAGCATATAATTTATTTATATAATAAAATATTGGTGCAATCGAATCAATATATAAACATATTTTAACAAATCAATAAATGAGTAAAATATCAAAAATTGAAAGACATATCGAAATGACAGAGAGTGTGAAAACTAATTGGTAAGAGCCAATGAGAATGCAGTATTTGGAAAAAACTGAAAATAAAGTTGATTGTGCACACATAATTGTCCTCAAACACAACATATTTAAGCAGTTAATAGCTCAAAAGAAAGAGCTTGATCCACTGAGTGTTCTGAGAGTGAAACGATCAAGATCCATTCATTAGAAGAGGAGCTATGAGAATTCGAATTGCTTGAGTGAATGTGTCCCATAAGAAATGTACAGGGAAGAATCGCGTTTGAGTATAACTTGAGTAAGGTGGGAGTTGAGTAAATTTCAATGATAGATGACATATCTGTGTCTAAATACCTTTTAGTAAAAAAAAAAAAAAAATGAAGGATATCGGCCGGATAGAACGGTAAGATGGACTGACTTTAGTTTTCATACATTTTTTAATATATAGAATATCATCGAAATTTATCTTCATATGCGGTTATTCTTTTTGTCTAATCGCAAATAAATTGGTAAAATTTTCGCAGGAGTTGAATTAGTTAATATAATAAATTAAAAATATGAATATGTGTTCAGCCAGAGTTTACTACTACTCGTTTCCAAATTAGACCGCTTAAACCTTTTTCTGGCTATCGTCTAAAGGCATTTTTGATCCGTACGATTAAAATAATACGTTATGATAAGATGAACAAGCCAGTGGCGTATTTAGGGGGGGGGGAGCCTTAGACTCGAACCCATAGTGAAATTTCCGATTCAATTAAAACATTTTTATGAATACGAGTATTGTTAAATTATATAATTATATATTTATATGATACCATGGTCCATACTTACTATTATTGTTGTTGTTCTATGCTAGTATGTTATTTTTGAGGTATAAAATTCACGTTACTGATTGATACCATGGTCCATGACTGCTGTTTAGTGCCACAGTAGTTTTTTGTTTGTAATGAGTGTTATCATTTCGTGCGATGCATAGTGGTGCGTAGTATATTCGCAGCCATCGTCCGCGGCGGTGATAAGCCTCCGTGTGCAACCGACCGGGATGTAATCGCATTGTTATCGTCACGCGTAAATGTTAATTTAGATAATTAATCAATTATTTATTAGTGGAAGTTGAAACTCTTAAAAAAAAACTCAAGTACACCAAGATTTGATGAATTTTTAATCAACGAATTGAACGAACGTAATATGAAGGCTTTGAATTTGTTATTTTATAATAAAAACCATCTAAACAACCTAATCCATTGATTCAACTCATGAAAAATCAAAATAAATGATTCCAAATCAGCTCATATCACATTCACCCTCCCCTCTGGAATCTGCCCGCCCATTTCGTAACGTAAATATACCCCAAACTAATGAAGTCAAATACCTAGGTCTTGTGCTTGGTAAAAGACTTACCTGGAGCCCGCATCTAAAAACTAAACGCAAACAACTGAACAGCTGCCTACATGTCCTTAGACCACTCTTAAAATCGAAAATGTGTACCCTTAACCGTCTACTAATATACAAAAGCCTACTTCAACCTATATGGCCTTACGGAATTGCTTTATGAGGTTCGGCCAAATCAGCTAACATCAGAACCATCCAAGCATTTCAATCGATATGCCTACGAATATGTCAACGCCCCTTGGTACGTCACCAACGCCAATCTTCACAATGAGCTAAAAATAACTACTATTGAACAAACAGCTGCTACATTCTACAATCGTTTCCACTCCAAAATGGCCAATCATTTAAACCAAGGGTGCCCAATTTATTTTGGAAGCGGGCTATAATTGCAATTACATTTAGCTGGTGGGCCATGTTATGAACAAGATTTTCTTACACTTATAATTCATCTAAAATTCTATTTTCAATAGATACTTAATTAGATAGAACAAATAGGTATTTAAATTAAACAACATTTTAAATTTCACATGTTTTAATTTTTAATAATATTTAAAAAAAAACATCAGTGAGACCTATGAAGAGACTTATTAGCTAATAATTTTTCAATATCTGGTGATAAATCTGATGTTGATAACAACATCAAATCTGAAATATGAGGCGCAGTTAACGAACTACGATATTTATTTTTGACATAGGTTAGAGTAGAAAAAGCTTTTTCGCAAATATATGTTGATCCAAATCTGCTTGAAATCTGCAAGGCAAGATCACACGTTGCAGGAAAGTCTTCTTTTGGTACTAATTTCCAAAATTTTAATACATTTTCTGAAGACTGCAGTTGTGGTTGTGATGATACAATTTCGGTAAATATCTGCTTCAAGGAAACGTGGTTTTGAATTTCTGTGATTTCCAACTGGATATTGCATGAATATTTTTGTATTTCACTAAAAGTGATTGAAAATCGGTTCATGAAAAACAAAATATTATTTTTGTCCTTCTCAAAATCCTGAAATCTGTTCTCAAAAGACTGCAACAATAATTGAATTTGTGTTTGATATTTCGAGATGTCAGGTGAAGTATTTTCTAGTTTTCCTCTTATATCTACAAGCGTAGGAAAATGATCGATATTATTTCTAGTCAAATTTGTCAAAAAAAGGGAGAGTTTTGCTTTAAATCCATAAACCAAATTGAACATTATTGGTAACGAACAGTCCTTCCCTTGCAGCTTCCAGTTAAGTATGTTGAGGTGCTGTGTAATATCTATTAAAAACGCAAGATCGCATAACCATGATTCACTTTCAAGTAAATCTCGCTCATCAGGCATTGCCTGCTTTTCTACTAAAAATTGCAAGACCTCTCTCCGCAAAAGAAAAAAATGTTTCAGCATTTCACCCTTAGATAACCAGCGGACAGCACAATACAAATGTAACTCACCGAATTCATTGATTTCTTCTTCAAATAAAACCCTGAATTGTCTTCGATGAAGAGCTTTGGCTCGGATATAATTAATACAGCGTACTACAGGATCAATAACATCATTAAACTTCATATCTTTGGCACATAAAGCTTCCTGATGGATGATACAATGATATGAAAATAATTCCCGGCCTAAGAACTGTTTTAACAAGGCCATACAACCATTTATTTTTCCCGTCATAGCGGGTGCTCCATCAGTACAAACAGAATTAATTTTTTCCCATGCTATACCTTTTCTGTCGACACATTCCTTGATTTTCATAAATATGTCTCTTCCGGTACTTGTAGTTTCCAACTGGCTGAGCTCTAATAAATCTTGAAATACATTAAAATTTTCATCAACACACCTCACGAAGATGGCTAGCTGTGACATACTCGTCAAATCACAAGTTTCATCCAACGCCAATGAAAAATACTTACATTTCGTTACGGTTTGTGTTATTTGGTTGCTAATATCGTTTGACATCTCCTCTACTCGTCTTGTTACAGTATTTCTCGAAAGTAAAATACCGTCTGCTTTAGTTTTTATATTTTTATCATTACAGTTATTAGAAAAAATTGATAAAGCCTCTTTAATAATTTCCCCATCAGAAAAAGGCTTTTTATTTTTGGCTAAAAGTAAAGATATCTCATATGATGTTTTTACCATAGATTCGAGTTCATCAAATTTTTTTACAAACAGATTCTGCTGACCAAATATTTCTTTTTTTTTCTTCTTTATAAACTCAGCTCTTAGAGAACTTCCTTCCGGGTAGTTTTTATTAATACTTGAATGATTTTGTTTAAAATGCCGTTCTAAATTATATTTTTTGGCGACGGCAATCGTAGTGGAGCAAATAAGACATATGGGCTTCAATGCTTTGCTTTCAGTAAAGCAATATTGCATCTCCCATTCTTCGTGAAATGTCCGAGAACGTTCTTTCAATTTCGACGTAATTGGTTTGCTGAGAGCCATTCTGGCTTAAAATTAACAAGTAAAAACACAGAATAAACGCAATTATTACAAAATAATTTAATATTTATTAAGTTGTACGTATTATTTTTACGACCGTAGCAAAAGGCGGGTGCGGAGCGACTGATTTTGGTCGCTGTTTGTACAATATTTCGAATAACAATTTATTATCTTAATTCGCCGATATACGACGACTACGTCGACGGACAATCAAGATAATCTATAAACATAAAAATAATACCGATTAACATCGCGA